ATGGTCTGATGAAACCAAGACTGAACTCTTTGGCCTGAATGCCAGGCGTCGCGTCTGGAGGAAACCTGGTACCATCCCTACAGTGAAGCATGGTGGTGGCAGCATCATGCTGTGGGGATGTTTTTCAGCACCAGGGACTGGGAGACTAGTCAGTATCGAGGGAAAGATGAACGGAGCAAAGTACAGAGAGATCCTTGATGAAAACCTGCTCCAGAGCGCTCAGGACCTCAGACTGGGGCGAAGGTTCACCTTCCAATACGACAACGACCCTAAGAACACAGCCAAGTCAACGCAGGAGTGGCTTCGGAACAAGTCTCTGAATGTCCTTGAGTGGACCAGCCAGAGCCCCGACTTGAACCCGATCGAACATCTCTGGAGAGACCTGAAAATAGCTGTGCAGCGACGCTCCCCATCCAACCTGACAGAGCTTAAGAGGATCTGCAGAGAAGAATGGGAGAAACTCCCTAAATACAGGTGTGCCAAGCTTGTAGCGTCATACCCAAGAAGACTCGAGGCTGTAATCGCTGCCAAAAGTGCATCAACAAATTACTGAGTAAATGGTCGGAATACTTACATAAATATTTCATTTCAGTTTTTATTTTTAATACATTTGCAAAAATTCATAAAAACCTGCTTTTGCTTTGTCATTATGGGGTATTGTGTGTAGATTGATGAGGGGAAAAAACGAATCAATTTTAGAATAAGGCTGTAACGTAACAAAATGTGGAAAAAGTCAAGGGGTCTGAATACTTTCCGAATGCACTGTATATGGAATATATCATGTCTATAAATAAATATTATTTTGTTGGTGAATTTGGAGCAGAATGAGCAAAATATCTGGTGTCATGGGTGCTATGAAATGACATTCTACTGACCTTCACAGTCTGTCTATCTATCATACAATCACATGGTGGTACCGACTAATACTGCTTGTATTAGACTGTCACCTTGTGGCTGGTGTTCAGAAATGCTTGGGAAGGCTTGGGAAGGTCAATACTGTTTTCTGAGGAACTCTACCATTTACTTGAAAGCTGATGTAGAACAGCTTTTGAGGGAGATGTTTGTTGGTCTGTGTGTAGCTTGATGACATTTTGTTTCCTTTAAATATTCTAATTATAGAAGCAACTCCCTAATGTGTAAACAATTTCAATTTGTCATTGGAGCACTCCAATAGTTTCTAGCATGGAACTTCGAAAGAGGAGAGGGAGAAAACACTAACTTCCATTGGTATTCTCGGAGCCTCACAGACTAAATTTACTTAACCTGCCATCTAAGTTAAGAGTACCCTCAGAACTTGACATGATGGTCAATCTTAGAACAGGTGCAGATATGCCTGCAGTGCAGCTCTTAACCACTAGTCAGTGGCAGTGTTCAGTGTAGATAATGATTATCATCAAAAGCATTTTAGCCATGTCTGTCAAAAAAGGTCTATTAGAGAAGCGCATAAAAATGTGTTATACTGTATGAAGGTAAATAATGAAATGTGTATGGCGGTCATAAAAAGATTACATCAATAAATGCATTCAGGATGATCATAATATCAAATTGATTTACCCAAACACTTAATTTGGGTTCCCTGCTAACGCACATTAAAACAGTTAAATGTTCCATATGGTGGTGCAAATCTACCGTAAAAAAATAACACATGCAATAAACACATTACATAAAAATACATTCATTGTCATTGTTTATTTTTCTGCATTCAGAAAAATAGAAAAGTAAAGAACATTGATAACTGTTATAGTGTCGTTTCTCATGCTTGCACATGTACAGTACATCTTGTTCTGAATAGACATCTTTATTTAGATTGGCTTATATTGCCTCAATAGATTTACAAAAATAATATTAAAACTGCAGTTATTTTAACATGATTTCTTTAAAGTTACATAAAAATAAAGCTTTCCCTGGCACTTTTCCTGAAAACTTTCTTATTTACAGCGAAACAATAGAGATGAGTTTTGTCAGAGTTGTATTCTCTGGCCACAGCACAGGAGCCTAGTTAAGAGCAGTTCAGAATCCACCATTTTGCTTTCTATGGTTTTGATATCTGTGGGTTATAGATGGAAGTGATCCATGGCTCAAGTGCATAAAGTGGGCAAAATATTTGGCTCTCAATCACAACCCAGGGGTTATCAAGAATGAATACAAAAATATATATATATATACACATACTGCTCAAAAAAATAAAGGGAACACTTAAACAACACAATGTAACTCCAAGTCAATCACACTTCTGTGAAATCAAACTGTCCACTTAGGAAGCAACACTGATTGACAATAAATTTCACATGCTGTTGTGCAAATGGAATAGACAACAGGTGGAAATTATAGGCAAATAGCAAGACACCCCCAATAAAGGACTGGTTTTGCAGATGGTGACCACAGACCACTTCTCAGTTCCTATGCTTCCTGGCTGATGTCTTGGTCACTTTTGAATGCTGGCGGTGCTTTCACTCTAGTGGTAGCATGAGACGGAGGCTACAACCCACACAAGTGGCTCAGGTAGTGCAGCTCATCCAGGATGACACATCAATGCGAGCTGTGGCAAGAAGGTTTGCTGTGTCTGTCAGCGTAGTGTCCAGAGCATGGAGGCACTACCAGGAGACAGGCCAGTACATCAGGAGATGTGGAGGAGGCCATAGGAGGGCAACAACCCAGCAGCAGGACTGCTACCTTCGCCTTTGTGCAAGGAGGAGCAGGAGGAGCACTGCCAGAGCCCTGCAAAATGACCTCCAGCAGGCCACAAATGTGCATGTGTCTGCTCAAACGGTCAGAAACAGACTCCATGAGGGTGGTATGAGGGCCCGACGTCCACAGGTGGGGGTTGTGCTTACAGCCCAACACCGTGCAGGACGTTTGGCATTTGCCAGAGAACACCAAGATTGGCAAATTCGCCACTGGCGCCTGTGCTCTTCACAGATGAAAGCAGGTTCACACTGAGCACGTGACAGTAGTGACAGAGTCTGGAGACGCTGTGGAGAACGTTCTGCTGCCTGCAACATCCTCCAGCATGACCGGTTTGGCGGTGGGTCAGTCATGGTGTGGGGTGGCATTTCTTTGGGGGGCCGCACAGCCCTCCATGTGCTCGCCAGAGGTAGCCTGACTGCCATTAGGTACCGAGATGAGATCCTCAGACCCCTTGTGAGACCATATGCTGGTGCGGTTGGCCCTGGGTTCCTCCTAATACAAGACAATGCTAGACCTCATGTGGCTGGAGTGTGTCAGCAGTTCCTGCAAGAGGAAGGCATTGATGCTATGGACTGGCCCGCCCGTTCCCCAGACCTGAATCCAATTGAGCACATCTGGGACATCATGTCTCGCTCCATCCACCAACAGACTGTCCAGGAGTTGGCGGATGCTTTGGTCCAGGTCTGGGAGGAGATCCCTCAGGAGACCATCCGCCACCTCATCAGGAGCATGCCCAGGCATTGTAGGGAGGTCATACAGGCACGTGGAGGCCACACACACTACTGAGCCTCATTTTGACTTGTTTTAAGGACATTACATCAAAGTTGGATCAGCCTGTAGTGTGGTTTTCCACTTTAATTTTGAGGGTGTCTCCAAATCCAGACCTCCATGGGTTGATACATTTGATTTCCATTGATAATTATTGTGTGATTTTGTTGTCAGCACATTCAACTATGTAAAGAAAAATGTATTTAATAAGATTATTTCATTCATTCAGATCTAGGATGTGTTATTTTAGTGTTCCCTTTATTTTTTTGAGCAGTGTATATATATATAAATAAAGCCTTTTTCCTGTTCTGTCTCTCTTCACAGCATATTACTCATACAAATAAAACCCCTCCAAAAATAACAAGGTAAAGCATGAACACCTGCCATTTCTCCTTCAGGTTAAATGAGAACACATTTTTGACAATATCTTGCTTGTTCTTCAAGAACACCTTGTTGTGATGTTTTATGGTTAGAGAATGGTGTTTGCTTCCATGGTGAGGGGCGGGGCAAGCAAAAGGCACTGTCACTAAGGATTGGACAAAGAGACTACATATGGACCCTAAAAGGGGTGTGGACAACAACATGTGGCTTATCATAGACCATGCTATAACATAGCCACTTTTGATACTAAAGTGAAGAATGCAATAATATGTTCTAAATGGTCTGTTTTTGACAGCATATAGACTGACGTTATTTACCCAACCATCACTTTTCGTGGTCCAGTACGTTCCAGCTCCACCGATACAAACAGGTTATTATTTCCCGTGGGGAATATAGACACATGCTTGTGTGTATCATCAAGTAAGATGCTTTGACCAGATCTGTCAATCTACTTGTTCCTTGAAGGTTTGAAACTACCCAGAGTGACTAGGCACTGTTAACACGACAGAGCAACATGATACAGAGACAAACACCAAAACATACATAGCCCTCATATACATAGATAACCACAGTCTCCAGACTGGCTCAGCCCCACAGTGAATCAAGTCCAGTTCCATTCAGACAGAGAGATGCTGGTCCTCCAGCATTAAAGCCATTTACCTCCCAGTAGCAGTCCAATCCAGTCCAGCCCTTTGGTTTCAAAGTCTAGTGCATCAACATGAAGGGCTCTGGGCCCCATGTCTAGAACCAAAAGAAGTCCAGTTAACTGCCAAAATAAAGGAAACACCAATATATTAATAGGCCATTGGGCCACCACGAGCCGCCAGGCATAGATTCTACAAGTGTCTGGAATTATATTGGAGGGATGCGACAATTTTTCCATAATTTTGTGTTTTCTTAATGGTGGTGGAAAACACTATCTCAGGCACCACTCCAGAATCTCCCATAAGTGTTAAATTGGGTTGACATCTGGTGACAGACACACACACACTATCAACTCCCCATGCCTCTTTGAGACCCCTCTTTCAAAGTCACTGAGCTCTCTTCTTTTAGCTATGGTACCAAAATAATGGCCAACTGTGCATTTTTATACATGACCCTAAGCATGATGGGATGTCAATTGTTTAATTAACTCAGGAACCACACTTGGGTAGAAGCACCTGCTTTCAATATACTTTGTATCCCTAAGTGTTTCCTTTATTTTAGCAGCTACCTGTAGAATACAAGTTCTATATTTTAGAACAGCCTCTGTGATTCCAGCTGCAGTAGACCCCCCTCTCACTCCAGGAGGCCCTCCTCTCTGCAGGCATCTAGGGAAGGGGAGAACAGACATGTGAGGTAAGGACACAAGAATACATCCCACTAGCCTGGTCCCAGATCTGTTTGTGCTGGCATTACAATGACCATAGGTGTTGGCTATTGCAACAGATCTAGGACCAGGCTAATGTCCAACATAACAATAGTAGGCTTATTTGCTTCAGGGAGATAGGTTTCATTCACGCTCACGTCTCACATCTGAGTTGATGAGTCTTGCTCACTGCAGTTTTCAATCTGGGAACTGATGCACCAGCAAATTCAAAATGCAATTTTTAAATGCATTATAACTGCACCAGCAAAGGCATTTCCTTCCAAAGCACAAACATGCAAACTTGTTATCTTACATTATTCCACATTCTTCCTCATTATTCAAAACTATAAGCAGACAGACAAAATACCAAGACAACAAAGAAAGGCTACCAAGCATATGGTAGTAAGATGTTGACATGAACATTCTTCTATTAGAATCTGAGGGTAGCACGAGAGGACAAGACATGGTCCTGAGTCAGACACACAGCCAAGCCCACACCGTCACGCGCTGGCATACAGGACGGCTCAAAGGCACGGGCAGCCTGGCATCAAGCCCATGCCATCCGCATGTGGGTGCCAACCAGCAAAGGCCTGAGTGTGTGTTAGTGTCCTACCTGTGTGAGGTGCGCGAGGCAGGACAGGACAGGGCAGGACAGGGCAGGGTGGGGAGGGAGCTCAGGGTCCAAGTGTAGTATTAGGAGGGGGTTAGGAATGCTGAGCGTCTATACCTGCTGGGCTGAGCACCAAGGCCTGCAGGATGTCAGACAGGGAGATGATGCCCTCGATGGCCGAGCGCTCATCCACCACTACCAACCGATGGACCTGACACACACACACACACACACACACACACACACACACACACACACACACAGAGAGAGAAAGAGAAAAGGAGAGGAAGAGAGGGACAGTGGGCATTTTGTGTCTGTGTTGAGTTTGCACGTTATTGCTTGTGTTGTTGGTGTGTTGAATTCATGTGTGTATGTGTGTGTTTGAACTCACCTCTGCTTTGACAATCTTGTCCACAATAGTCTCCAGTGTATCCAGCTTGTGGCATTGCATGACCCCCTCAAAGTACTGGCAGCGATGCCTCAGAGCCTGGGTCACTGTGATGTCTAGGTTATTATACGTCTTCTCTGCTGCCAGGTTCTATACATGATACATAGACACACTCATATGGATGGCTTTTTGAAGGAAAACATTCACACAATATATTGTTGAGGGAGAAGTAACATGAATACCAAGCTGTATTTCCAAAATCACAACTTACTATGACATCAAATTTGGAGTAAATATCCACCACTTTCCCTGTCAGGAGATTGAAACATAACCAGAGTTGAACTGAATCTCAATCGATCAAATTTACCTGTATAGTATATTTTAACAACAGTTGTCACAAAGTGTTTTACAGTAACACGTACCAGATACGTCCACCACAGGCAGGGCAGACACCCTCCTCTCTACGAAGATCTGCAGGGCCTTGATGATGGGTGTGTCAGGGTGGATGAAGGCTATGTTCTTGTAGGTGCCGATGCCCAGCTCTCCTAGAGTCTGCTTCATAAAGGCCGGCTTGGGCATCTCACGCACCTGGAACACATAGGATAAAATATAACACCGATCCATCTATCTATCTATCTACAGTTGAAGTCGGAAGTTTACATACACCTTAGCCAAATACATTTAAACTCAGTTTTTCACAATTCCTGACATTTAATCCTAGTAAAAATTCCCTGTCTTAGGTCAGTTAGGATCACCACTTTATTTTAAGAATGTGAAATGTCAGAATAATTGTAGAGAATGATTTCTTTCAGCTTTTATTTATTTCATCACATTCCCAGTGGGTCAGAAGTTTACATACACTCAATTAGTATTTGGTAGCATTGCCTTTAAATTGTTTAACTTGGGTCAAAATTTTTTTGGTAGCCTTCCACAAGCTTCCCACAATAGGTTGGGTGAATTTTGGCCCATTCCTCCTGACAAAGCTGGTGTAATTGAGTCAGGTTTGTAGGCCTCCTTGCTCGCACACGCTTTTTCAGTTCTGCCCACAAATTTTCTATAGGATTGAGGTCAGGGCTTTGTGATGGCCACTCCAATACCTTGACTTTGTTGTCCTTAAGTCATTTTGCCACAACTTTGGAAGTATGCTTGGGGTCATTGTCCATTTGGAAGACCCATTTGCAACCAAGCTTTAACTTCCTGACTGATGTCTTGAGATGTTGCTTCAATATATCCACATAATTTTCCTTCCTCATGATGCCATCTATTTTGTGAAGTGCACCAGACCCTCCTGCAGCAAAGCACCCCCACAGCATGATGCTGCCACCCCTGTGTGTCACGATTGGGATGGTGTTCTTCGGCTTGCAAGCCCACCCCCTTTATCCTCCAAACATAACAATAGTCATTATGGCCAAAGTTCTATTTTTGTTTCATCAGACCAGATCCAAAAAGTACGATCATTGTCCCCATGTGCAGTTGCAAACCGTAGTCTGGCTTTTTTATGGCGGTTTTGGAGCAGTACTTCTTCCTTGCTGAGCAGCCTTTCAGGTAATGTCGATATAGGACTCGTTCTACTGTGGATATAGATACTTTTGTACCGGTTTCCTCCAGCATCTTCACAAGGTCCTTTGCTCATGTTCTGGGATTGATTTGCACTTTTCACACCAAAGTACGTTCATCTCTAGGAGACAGAACGCGTCTCCTTCCTGAGCGGTATGACGGCTGCGTGGTCCCATGGTGTTTATACTTGCATACTATTGTTTGTACCGATGAACGTGGTACCTTCAGGCGTTTGGAAATTGCTCCCAAGGATGAACCAGACTTGTGGAAGTGTACACATTTATTTTCTGAGGTCTTGGCTGATTTCTTTTGATTTTCCCATGATGTCAAGCAAAGAGGCACTGAGTTTGAAGGTAGGCCTTGAAATACATCCACAGGTACACCTCCAATTGACTCAAATGATGTCAATTAGCCTATCAGAAGCTTCTAAAGCCATGACATCATTTTCTGGAATTTTCCAAGCTGTTTAAAGGCACAGTCAACTTAGTGTATGTAAACTTCTGACCCACTGGAATTGTGATACAGTGAATTATAAGTGAAATAATCTGTCTGTAAACAATTGTTGGAAAAATTACTTGTGTCATGCACAAAGTAGATGTCCTAAACGACTTGCCAAAACTATAGTTTGTTAACAAGAAATGTGTGGAGTGGTTGAAAAACAAGTTTTAATTACTCCAACCTAAGTGTATGTAAACTTCCGACTTCAACTGTACCTTAAAAAAAAGGTATGGGCGTGGATCAGAAAACCAGAGTGTCTGGCGTGACCACATTTGTCTCATGCAGCATGACACATCTCCTTCGCATAGAGTTGATCAGGCTGTTGATTGTGGCCTGTGGAATGTTGTCCCACTCCTCTTCAATGGCTGTGCGAAGTTGCTGGATATTGGCAGGAACTGGAACACGCTGTCGTGCATGTCGATCCAGAGCATCCCAAACATGCTCAATGGGTGACATGCCTGGTGAGTATGCAGGCTATGGAAGAACTGGGTCATTTTCAGCTTCCAGGAATAGTGTACAGATCCTTGCGACATGGGGCCGTGCATTATCAAGCTGAAACATGAGGTGAAAGCGGCGGATGACTGGTACGACAAATGGGCCTCAGGACATCGTCACGGTATCTCTGGGCATTCAAATTGCATATTGATAAAATGCAATTGTGTTCATTTCTCGTAGCTTATGCTACAGGCAATTCTCTAAAACAATGTTGGAGGTAGCTTATGGTAGAGAAATTAACATTCAATTATCAGGCAACAGCTCTGGTGGACATTCCTGCAGTCAGCATGTCAAATGCACGCTACCTCAAATCTTGAGACATCTGTGGCATTGTGTTGTGTGACAAATCTGCACATTTTAGAGTGGCCTTTTATTGTCCCCAGCATAAGGTGCACCTGTGTAATGATAATGCTGTTTAATAGGCTTATTGATATGCTACACCTGTCAGGTGGATGAATTATCTTGGCAAATGAGAAATGCTCACTAACAGGGATGTAAACACATTTGTGCGCAAAATTTGACAGAAATAAGCTTTTTGTGCGTATGGAAAATCTCTGGGATCTTTTATTTCAGCTCATGAAACCAACACTTAACATGTACGTTTATAATTTTGTTCAGTGTACATATTGGAACCATCCTACTGATCGCATTCACACTTCTCCAGAAGTTGCATTGCATGTGTGCCATGAACGTTCTCACCATAAAACCAGGACAGTGAATCAGGTTTGGTTTAAAAAATAAACAAATCTACAACAAATATATATATAAAATGTAATGATATCATAAAATCGCCATCATAAAAAAAGACAATGCATTGCTGTTGAACCAGGTCTTAGGTCTCTCTTTATGTAGTGTTGTGGTGTCTCTTGTCGTGATGTGTGTTTTGTCCTATATATATATTTTTTTTTATCCCAGCTCTGTCCCCGCAGGAGACCTTTTGCCTTTTGGTAGGCTGTCATTGTAAATAAGAATTTGTTCTTAACTGACTTGCCTAGTTAAAACAAGTTTAAATAAAATAAATAAAAATAAAACCAGCCTTCGTTATAGTAGGACTAGGGTAAGGGTAGCCTACGGAGGGCTTGGGTTTAAAAAATATGAAATGGAAAACAATTGTTACAGGAACATTTCTTGTAAATACTTGTTTCATGATGGGCATGGATACATGTAGCCAACATCACGGAGGGGTTTTACGCAGGTCCAAAGCATGGCTAAAGTAATGTAGGCCTGCCTACAATACTTAGATAAAAAGGGAATGTCAGCTCACTGTTTTGCTCCTCTCAAAGCTTTGGTGATTAAGATAAATTTCCAAGCGGTCTCATGACGACCCAAACACTATCGACGATCTTGACGAGCATACTTGATTACATTGGGCAGGACAAAAATAAAACAGACTTCATTGAGAGGCGGGGAGGCTATGCTTGGTTTCTAATGAAAAACGAAATGAAAAAGTGTTTTATGTTTCAAAATACGAAGTATACAGGCACCAAATCACATCTTGTTCCATGCACATATGGGCAGTGTGCGTCACGGCTGGATAGGCTGCGTTTCCGCTGTCAAAATTCATACCATAACCAACTGCGTTACCGCTAAAACCAGCTTTTGGTTGGTCTTAAATATCCCTACTAGCGCTGCCTGAAATTAGCACTTTGGATCATGTTTTTAAGGACACGCCTCAAATATTTCCACCCCTCCCATCTGAGCGCAAGCGTGCTGATGTTAGACAGTTAAATTGCCGTACCTGGCATTAGGGCTGGAAAATGCCAGCGCACCAGTTTTTACATGACCAAATTACAAACTAACGTGCGTTTGACACTAGCGCTGCATTAACACCAGCCGAAAATAGAGCACATGGTTTTAGACTTACAAAGAGCTGTAGGAACTTGAGGATCCTCTTGTGTGTGAGGATGTAAAGTGGGTTCCCCGTCACAGGGTCGATGACAGGCAGCCGGTGGATCTTGTTTTTGATGAGGGAATACACTGCATCAAATATGCTGCAAAGACAGACGTAAAGCACAAATGAAAATAAAAGTATGTTATTTTCTTTGCATCTATGTACAGTTGAAGTCAGAAGTTTACATACACCTTAGCCAAATACATTTAAACTCAGTTTTTCACAATTCCTGACATTTAATCCTAGTAAAAATTCCCTGTCTTAGGACAGTTAGGATCACCACTTTATTTTAAGAATGTGAAATGTCAGAATAATTGTAGAGAGAATGATTTTTTTCAGCTTTTATTTCTTTCATCACATTCCCAGTGGGTCAGAAGTTTACATACACTCAATTAGTATTTGGTAGCATTGCCTTTAAATTGTTTAACTTGGGTCAAACGTTTTGGGTAGCCTTCCACAAGCTTCCCACAATAGGTTGGGTGAATTTTGGCCCATTCCTCCTGACAGAGCTGGTGTAACTGAGTCAGGTTTGTAGGCCTCCTTGCTCGCACACGCTTTTTCAGTTCTGCCCACACATTTTCTATAGGATTGAGGTCAGGGCTTTGTGATGGCCACTCCAATACCTTGACTTTGTTGTCCTTAAGCCATTTTGCCACAACTTTGGAAGTATGCTTGGGGTAATTGTCCATTTGGAAGACCCATTTGCGACCAAGCTTTAACTTCCTGACTGATGTCTTGAGATGTTGCTTCAATATATCCACATAATTTTCCTTCCACATGATGCCATCTATTTTGTGAAGTGCACCAGTCCCTCCTGCAGCAAAGCACCCCCACAGCATGATGCTGCCACCCCCGTGCTTCACGGTTGGGATGGTGTTCTTCGGCTTGCAAGCCCACCCTTTTTCCTCCAAACATAACGATGGTCATTATGGCCGAACAGATCTATTTTTGTTTCATCAGACCAGAGGACATTTCTCCAAAAAGTACGATCTTTGTCCCCATGTGCAGTTACAAACTGTAGTCTGGTTTTTTTATGGCGGCTTTGGAGCAGTGGCTTCTTCCTTGCTGAGCGGCCTTTCAGGTTATGTCGATATAGGACTCGTTTTAACTGTGGATATAGATACTTTTGTACCTGTTTCCTCCAGCATCTTCACAAGGTCCTTTGCTGCTGTTCTGGGATTTATTTGCACTTTTCGCACTGAAGTACGTTCATCTCTAGGAGACAGAATGCGTCTCCTTCCTGTGTGGTATGACGGCTGCGTGGTCCCATGGTTTTATACTTGCGTACTATTATTTGTACAGATGAACGTGGTACCTTCAGGCGTTTGGAAATTGCTCCCAAGGATGAACCAGACTTGTGAAGGTCTACAATTTCTTTTCTGAGGTCTTGGCTGATTTCTTTTGATTTTCCAATGATGTTAAGCAACGAGGCACTGAGTTTGAAGGTAGGCCTTGAAACACATCCTCAGGTACACCTCCAATTGACTCAAATTATGTCAATTAGCCTATCAGAAGCTTCTAAAGCCATAAAATCATTTTCTGGAACTTTCCAAGCTGTTTAAAGGCACATTCAACTTAGTGTATGTAAACTTCTGACCCACTGGAATTGAGATACAGTGAATTATAAGTGAAATAATCTGTCTGTAAACAATTGTTGGAAAAATGACTTGTGTCATGCACAAAGTAGATTTCCTAACCGACTTGCCAAAACTATAGTTTGTTAACAATACATTTGCGGAGTTGTTGAAAAACTAGTTTTAATGACTCCAACCTAAGTGTATGTAAACTTCCGACATCAACTGTATATTCAAGACAGATACACACGCTCTTACACACATTCATAACTGTATAATAACCATTGTTATGAGAACGTACCTTGATTCAGGTGATATGTTCACTAAAGGCTTGAATGTCTCTTGCAAATATACTTCTGTGGAGAGAGAAAATATTGTGAGTTAAATGTTCTGTACATGTAATTTATTGTCATCATTTAAACAAAAGCTTTTTACATACCTCTCCATGTCTCAAGCTTATGATCTTCCAACTCATATATTTGCACCTATAAACAATAAAACTATATTGATATCTAAAGAATAAACTACAGAAATCCAACATAGGATTTTGATGGTGAACAAATATTTAGCTAATTAGTTCATCCACTCAAACTTACCAACGGTGACTTGTAGTATCTGTGTAGTATGATGATGAAGTCTGTGATTGTCAACATTCCTGAAATGAGAAGAAATGTAAGCCTATAGATAATAGAATGACTAACAATTGTCATAGAGCCGTCATAAAGCATTAGGTTGCTAACTGTCTTCTCGCCAACAAACCATGCTCCACTGGCCATGGCTAGTACCATTCATTTCAACAAATCTACCAGCATGTACGTACACTACCGTTCAAAAGTTTGGGGTCACTTAGAAATTTCCTTGTTTTCGAAAGAAAAGCAATTTTTTTGTCCATTAAAATAACATCAAATTGATCAGAAATACAGTGTAGACATTGTTAATGCTGTAAATGGCTATTGTAGCTGGAAATGGCTGATTTTTAATGGAATATCTACATAGGTGTACAGAGGCCCATTATCAGCAACTATCAGTCCTGTGTTCCAATGGCACGTTGTGTTTGCTAATCCAGGTTTATCATTTTAAAAGGCTAATTGAAAACATTAGAAAACCCTTTTGCAATTATGCTAGCACAGCTGAAAACTGTTGTGCTGATTAAATAAGCAATAAAACTGGCCTTCTTGAGACTAGTTGAGTATCTGGAGCATCAGCAATTGTGGGTTCGATTACAGGCTCAAAATGGCCAGAAACAAATAACTTTCTTCTGAAACTCGTCAGCCAGTTTGCGCTGTTCTGTGAAGGGATTAGTCAAATCAAATCACATTTTATTTGACACATGCACCAAATACAATAGGTGTAGACATTAACGTGAAATGCTTACTTACAGCCCTTAACCAACAATGCATTATTATGATTTTTTTTAATAAAAAAGTAAAATAAAACGACAACAAAAAAGTGTTGGGAAAAAAAGAGCAGAAGTAAAATAAAATAACAGTAGGGAGGCTATATACAGGGGGGTACCGGTACAGAGTCAATGTGCGGGGGCACCGGCTAGTTGAGGTAGTTGAGATAATATGTACATGTGGGTAGAGTTAAAGTGACAGAGTAGCAGCAGCGTAAAAAGATGGGGTGGGGGTGGGGGGGGCAGTGCAAATAGTCCGGGTAGCCATGATTAACTGTTTAGGAGTCTTATGGCTTGGGGGTAGAAGCTGTTGAGAAGCCTTTTGGACCTAGACTTGGCGCTCTGGTACCGCTTGCCGTGCGGTAGCAGAGAGAACAGTCTATGACTAGGGTGGCTGGAGTCTGACAATTTTGAGGGCCTTCCTCTGACACTGCCTGGTATAGACGTCCTGGATGGCAGGAAGCTTGGCCCCAGTGATGTACTGGGCCGTACGCACTACCCTCTGTAGTGCCTTGCGGTCGGAGGCCGAGCAGTTGCCATACCAGGTGGTGATGCAACCAGTCAGGATGCTCTCGATGGTGCAGCTGTAGAACTTTTTGAGGATCTGAGGACCCATGCCAAATATTTTCAGTCTCCTGAGGGGGAATAGGCTTTGTCGTGCCCTCTTCACAACGGTCTTGGGTGTGTTTGGACCATGATAGTTCGTTGGTGATGTGGACAACAAGGAACTTGAAGCTCTCAACCTGTTCCACTACAGCCCCGTCGATGAGAATGGGGGCGTGCTCAGTCCTCTTTTTTTCCCTGTAGTCCACAATCATCTCCTTTGTCTTGGTCACGTTGAGGGAGAGGTTGTTATCCTGGCACCACATGGCCAGGTCTCTGACCTCCTCCCTATAGGCTGTCTCATCGTTGTCGGTGATCAGGCCTAACACTGTTGTGTCGTCGGCAAACTTAATGATGGTGTTGGAGTCGTGCCTGGCCATGCAGTCATGGGTGAACAGGGAGTACAGGAGGGGACTGAGCACGCACCCCTGAGGGGCCCCCGTGTTGAGGATCAGCGTGGCAGATGTGTTGTTATCTACCCTTACCACCTGGGGGCGGCCCGTCAGGAAGTCCAGGATCCAGTTGCAGAGGGAGGTGTTTAGTCCCAGGATCCTTAGCTTAGTGATGAGCTTTGAGGGCACTATGGTGTTGAACGCTGAGCTGTAGTCAATGAATAGCATTCTCACGTAGGTGTTCCACTTGTCCAGGTGGGAAAGGGCAGTGTGGAGTGCAATAGCGATTGCATCATCTGTGGATCTGTTGGGGCGGTATGCAAATTGGAGTGGGTCTAGGGTTTCTGGTATAAAATGTTGATGTGAGCCATGACCAGCCTTTCAAAGCACTTCATGGCTACAGACGTCAGTGCTACGGGTCGGTAATCATTTAGGCAGGTTATCTTAGTGTCCTTGGGCACGGGGACGGTGGTCTGCTTGAAACATGTTGGTATTACAGACTCAGTCAGGGACATGTTGAAAATGTCAGTGAAGACACTTGCCAGTTGGTCAGCACATGCTCGGAGTACACGTCCTGGTAATCCGTCTGGCCCTGCGGCCTTGTGAATGTTGACCTGCTTAAAAGTCTTACTCACATCGGCTACGGAGAGCGTGATCACATAGTCATCCGGAACAGCTGGTGCTCTCATGCATGCTTCAGTGTTGCTTGCCTCGAAGCGAGCATAGAAGTGGTTTAGCTCGTCTGTTAGGCTTGTGTCACTGGGCAGCTCGCGGCTGTGCTTCCCTTTGTAGTCTGTAATAGTTTTCAAGCCCTGCCACATCCGACGAGCGTCAGAGACGGTGTAGTACGATTAAATCTTAGTCCTGTATTGACACTTTGCCTGTTTGATGGTTCGTTGGAGGGCATAGCGGGATTTCTTATAAGCGTCCGGGTTAGAGTCCCGCTCCTTGAAAGCGGCAGCTCTACCCTTTAGCTCAGTGCGAATGTTGCCTGTAATCCATGGCTTCTGGTTGGGGTATGTACGTACGGTCACTGTGGGGACGACGTCATCGATGCACTTATTGATGAAGCCAGTGACTGATGTGGTGTACTCCTCAATGCTATCTGAAGAATCTCGGAACATGTTCCAGTCTGTGCTAGCAAAACAGTCCTGTAGCTTAGCATCTGCGTCATCTGACCACTTTTTTATTAACCGAGTCACTGGTGCTTCCTGCTTTAGTTTTTGCTTATAAGCAGGAATCAGGAAGATAGAGTTATGGTCAGATTTACCAAATGGAGGGCGAGGGAGAGCTTTGTATGCGTCTCTGTGTGTGGAGTAAAGGTGGTCTAGAGTTTTTTTTTCCTGTGGTTGCACATTTAACATGCTGGTAGAAATTAGGTAGAACGGATTTAAGTTTCCCTGCATTAAAGTCCCCGGCCACTAGGAGCGCTGCCCCTGTTTACTTATGGCCTTATACAGCTAATTGAGTGCAATCTTAATGCCAGCATTGGTTTGTGGTGGTAAATAGGCAGCTATGAAAAATATAGATGAAAACTCTCTTGGTAAATAGTGTGGTCTACAGCTTATCATATGATACTCTACCTCAGGCGAGCAAAACCTAGAGACTTCCTTAGTATTTGATTTTGTGCACCAGCTGTTGTTTACAAATATACACAGACCGCCACCCCTTGTCTTACCGGAGTCAGCCGTTCTATCCTGCCAATGTAGCGTATATCCCATCAGCTGTATGTTGTCCATGTCGTCGTTCAGCCACGACTCGGTGAAACATAAGATATTACAGTTTTTAATGTCCAGTTGGTAGGATAACCGTAATCTTAGGTCATCTAATTTATTTTCAAATGATTGAACATTGGCTAATAGGTTTGATTTAATTGCTCGCCGTCGGATCCTTACAAGGCACCCCGACCTACGTCCACGATATCTCTGTCTCTTTCTCCAGCGAATGACGGGGATTTGGGCCTTGTCGGGTGTCTGTAGGATATCCTTCGCGTCCGACTCGCTGAAGAAAAAATCTTCGTCCAATACGAGGTGAGTAATCGCTGTGCTTATATCTAGAAGCTCTTTTTGGTTATAAGAGTCTATGGCAGAAACATTATTTACAGAATAAATTACAAATAACGCGAAAAAACACACGATAGTACAATTGGTTAGAGGGCTGTAAAACGGCAGCCATCTTCTCCGGCGCCATCTCAGTACACAGTGTTGTACGAGATCTTCAGTTTCTTGGTAATTTCTCGCATGGAATCGCCTTCATTTCTCAGAACAAGAATAGACTGACGAGTTTCAGAAGAAAGTTATTTGTTTCTGGCCATTTTGAGCCTGTAATCGAACCCACAATTGGTGATGCTCCAGATACTCAACTAGTCTCAAGAAGGCCAGTTTTATTGCTTCTTTAATCAGCACAACAGTTTTCAGCTGTGCTAACATAATTGCAAAATGGTTTTCTAATGATCAATTAGCCTTTTCCTTTTAAAATGATAAACTTGGATTAGCAAACACAACGTGCAATTGGAACACAGGACTGATGGTTGCTGATAACGGGCCTCTGTACGCCTATGTAGATATTCCATAAAAAGATCAGCCGTTTCCAGCTACAATAGCCATTTACAACATTAACAATGTCTACACTGTTTTTCTGATCAATTTGATGTTATTTTAAATGGACAAAAAAGTTGCTTTTCTTTCGAAAACAATGACATTTCTATGTGACCCCAAACTTTTGAACGGTAGTGTATGTACAACAAAATGTTGAATAGTTTAAGAATGCATTCATTGGTGGATATACGTGTTTTACATTTCATGTGAATGTATGTCATACTACACAAAGGGTGTGTCTTACCCACAAAACACTGCCTCTCTGAATCCCATAGTGGGGCAGCACGCACCCCGTTGGCCACTAAGGCAAAGAACGCCTTCTTTACCTGTGAAAAAGGATTATAATCCGAGAACAAAAAAACATATGGCAAGGTATTGATGGTATTGCACATCTTGTAAAATGTTTAGTGTAAATCCAAAATAATACAATAAAGCTTTCTGGTTTTATGGGTTTCATCTAAACCATGAGTTTTATGGATTCGGTGGCTGAGCTCCTAAACATCAGTGTTTCTATACTTCCTTATGATTACTGTTTAACCTTTTATGAGGCAATAGCACTGTTCTCCTCATGGAACATTAACCATGCAATTTTCAGTGCCTTTAGACCAAGGATGCACTTCAATACCCATAAGAATGTTCCTCAGTGGACACACCCTGTTAGATAAACATATAATGTCAAACTTAGGTCAAAGTTAATTAGTGCTTCTCAAAGTTATGTATACATCGTTTTGTGAACTCACACCCGTGTGTCTGTCTGGGAGCGAATTTACAAAGTGTCTCAGAGTACTGTAGGAGTTATTCATTATGATTGAAAAGGCTCAACTGATCCTAGATCAGCACTCCTACTCTAAGAAACTCTTACTCTGAGATGCTCTATGTGTCTCAGAGGCTACATGATGTCAAAGTGTGTAGTCAAGTAGAGGAACAGGGCTTACCTGTAGGCCAGTGTCGAACACGACCAGCTTGGAGCTGGTGGGAACGATGTCGTAGCAGCAGTGGGACTTCATAAAGCGCATGTAAATATCACTCTCTGGTTCAGCAGCTGGACAGATGGATAGAAAAATATGCACACTGTGTATACAGTACATGGAATATTTACAAAAATATAATTCAGATTTTTCTGCAGCACCCCTACTTCCCGCTGCTATAGCGCTATCATCAGGCAATAATTAGCTTATGATCAAAACAAATCCTGCATAATAGGACTTAAATATTAATTATTTTGTGCGACAGGTGTTCAATAGCATGGAACTGGTCCCATGTGGCTCAGTCAATGTAACTAATATTCACATTACAATTCACACCAGCACTTTACAAAGGACCAATCCATACCATTGAGCCTGGTCTTGAACTATATACAAATAAAATTGCAAAAACGTCAAATGAAAGGCTATAGGCAGCACCATCAAGTAACATCCAAATGTAGGCTAATAATGCAGTAAAATGCACTTACTTACCAACACCATCATCGTTAAGTTCAAGTTTCTCCAGCATGCCTTCGAATAAACCGTAGAAATTCTGCAAGAATAAGAGGCAGAGGCAGTCAAGAACGCGCTCCAAATCTAGCACACCAATATCAGACCAGTCGCGCGCTGCAGGCGCACAACAGCTCGCCTTTTGCCAAAGTGTGGACGAAAATAACAAGGTAGATTCAATAACTGCTGGCATTTTCCACCATGACAAAATCATACATCTTGACAGACTGACAGACTAAATGTCCTTGCGCAAAGCCAACGAAAAGAAAAGCACAATACGCACTGCACGCAACTCATTCAAGTGCCCTTGTCCAAGTTTCTACTGTAGACAATGTGGGCAATTCATATCGGGAGCTCTGCCTGTCAGTAACTTTAATGGCACATTATTATTAGACTACACGCCCCTTAACTGTAGTAGTGGAACATTCCTAAATCTATTTTGCTGCAGTCAATAAAGCCGTTGCCTACAGTAGGATCATACTACTGACTAAAACAGATGAGTGAGCAACACGTCCGGATAAATAAACAAAAGAAGAATACTTTAATTTAAAACGCAGTGCATCTGTCCCAAGCAGATATTTTTCTACGCGTATTGTGAACGACAGGGGAAATCGTTCAGGTTTCATTTATTATTATGATCACGCTCTAGACCCCCCCCCCCCCCCATGCAGAACAACCAAGGCTCTTCACCATATTAGGAAATCCCTCATGTTGCCTAGCAGCGAGAAGCCACGGATTCCCTGTCCTTTTCTATGCCCATAACTGTTTTGCAGGACATAAAAATGCAACAATTTGCACAATGCAGAATTATTTACATTGACAATGCAAAATTATTTACATTGATAATTATTTACAGTAATAATGGCAAGGGATGAATGGAATTAAGTAGGCTACTGCACAAACACTAAGACATTGTGCAGAGGCTGTGTACTGCATCAAAATGATCCAATAACAAAATAAGTCTGTGTGCAGTTAATTTCACTCCTTCCCTATGCTACAAAGCACTTCATCATCATGGCACGTTCTATGAGCCGAGTCATATTGTGCTCTTTGTAGCATATGAGGATTCAAAACCATCTTTTTTTATTAGTTGTCTCCCCTAGCCCCTTGATTAGACCCTTCCAGTGCATTGACAACAACCCACTGCAGTAGAAGAAAAAGCCCTGATAGCTCACCCCTGGGATGCCTAACCAACCCCCCAGTCACCCTATACCTCATGTTGAGGCAGCAATTCTCCAGCCAAAACCACTACTGCACTGTCATAAATCTAGCCTGTATAACCCTGCATCAGCATGGGCATGAATCCCATCCCACTCTGCTGCACTGCCACAGGGAAGGGAACGTGCTGTACGTAAACATAGGGCTGTAAATCTGAGATGGAGGGCTGTTTCATTAACACGCTTCCAGGCTGGATTTGGCAGAGCCATTCCTTGGATTGGGGTAAGAGCCTGGTGTGTGTAGATCGAGAGAACTAGAGAGAGAGAGAGAGAGAGAGCGAGAGCGAGAGCGCGAGCGAGAGACTTATGGCTCAGTGTACTATTATCATGATGCTTTGGGTGTAAGAAGCAACAACAAAACCAAGGATGGTGATGAAATATTGACTTGCACTGTCAGGGTAGATAGAGAGTGCTATAGCTCAAATAGACAGGCACACACAGTTACTTGAATTATTAGTTTTAACAAGATACCACATCAAATCAATCAAATCAATGTCTCTGTCCCAATAGGAGAGGGGAACATTAGACATATCAGTACAAACACTGATTGTGAACATCATGGTCAGACTAATATTGAACTCTGCTGAGCTGAACGTTGGAGCTGAACAAACACAACAGTCTTTGCTGAAACAATCACTTAATTCCCGTCCTTCACATTTTACCTCTGTATAGGTCTAGGAGACACAGAAAATCACATCAGCTTCCCCCTTACACCACTTTTCTTTGGCAACCCTGCAATATTGCTTCAATGCACAATCAGTTATCACTGCCACTAACAAACACAGTAACCCAGCGGTTGTTGTAGTAGGTAGTATGAGGTATCACTCACTGGCTGTGAGGTAGCTTGGGGCAGTGGGAAAGTGTAGAGTATCGGAGAGGAGGAGGGCATGGGGGGCTTGGCAGAGGACGGTAGGCTGAGGCCCTGTCCGGTGTCTGGTGGGGGTGATGAGAGGGAGTGGTCCAGGCGCTCTGGGGCACTCTGGTGGACCTCCTGGGGGAACAGCATGTGCAGGCTGGGGGCCTGGGTGGGGGTGCTGGGTGGGGTGGGGGAAGACGAGAGGCCGGAGACTGTGGAGGAAAGACAATGATCAGAGAAAGGATTAACAGTTAGCAAAGATCCACACAGGCCTGTCATGTATACACAGAGTTTCCCTAGAAATCTCCTGTAGTGCAGTTGCTATGTTCACAGGTGATCTCAACTCAATTGTGGCCTTTCTAATTGGGATATACCATTGCAATAGAGTATGTGCTTGTCACATGATACTGTTATAATGGAGTGGGTCCCCAATACATTACAGTGGCTTGCGAAAGTATTCACCCCCCTTGGCATTTTTCCTATTTTGTTGCCTTACAACCTGTAATGAAAATAGATTTTTGGGGGGTTTGTATCATTTGATTTACACAACATGAAGATGCGAAATATTTTTTGGGGTGAAACAAACAAGAAATAAGACAAAAAAACTGAAAACTTGAGCGTGCATAACTATTCACCCCCCCCCCAAAGTCAATACTTTGTAGAGCCACCTTTTGCAGCAATTACAGCTGCAAGTTTCTTGGGGTATGTCTCTATAAGCTTGGCGCATCTAGCCACTGGGATTTTTGCCCATTTCAAGGCAAAACTGCTCCAGCTCCTTCAAGTTGGATGGGTTCCGCTGGTGTACAGCAATCTTTAAGACATACCACAGATTCTCAATTGGATTGAGGTCTGGGCTTTGACTAGGCCATTCCAAGACATTTAAATGTTTCCCCTTAAACCACTCAAGTGTTGCTTTAGCAGTATGCTTAGGGTCATTGTCCTGCTGGAAGGTGAACCTCCGTCCCAGTCTCAAATCTCTGGAAGACTGAAACAGGTTTCCCTCAAGAATTTCCCTGTATTTAGCGCCATCCATCATTAATTCAATGCTGACCAGTTTCCCAGTCCCTGCCAATGAAAAACATCCCCACAGCATGATGCTGCCACCACCATGCTTCACTGTGGGGATGGTGTTCTCGGGGTGATGAGAGGTGTTGGGTTTGCGCCAGACATAGCGTTTTCCTTGATGGCCAGAAAGCTCAATTTTAGTCTTATCTGACCAGAGTACCTTCTTCCATATGTTTGGGGAGTCTCCCACATGTCTTTTGGTGAACTTATTTGCTTATTTTTTTGTAAGCAATGGCTTTTTTCTGGCCACTCTTCCGTAAAGCCCAGCTCTGTGGAGTGTACGGCTTAAAGTGGTCCTATGGACAGATACTCCAATCTCCACTGTGGAGCTTTGCAGCTCCTTCAGGGTTATCTTTGGTCTCTTTGTTGCCTCTCTGATTAATGCCTTCCTTGCCTGTTCCGTGAGTTTTGGTGGGCAGCCCTCTCTTGGCAGGTTTGTTGTGGTGCCATATTCTTTCCATATTTGTAATAATGGATTTAATGGTGCTCCGTGGGATGTTCAACGTTTCGGATATTTTTTTATAACCCAACCCTGATCTGTACTTCTCCACAACTTTGTCTCTGACCTGTTTGGAGAGCTCCTTGGTCTTCATGGTGCTGCTTGCTTGGTGGTTCCCCTTGCTTAGTGGTGTTGCAGACTCTGGGGCCTTTCAGAACAGGTGTATATATACTGAGATCATGTGACACTTAAATAAAGTCCACCTATGTGCAATCTAACTAATTATGTGACTTCTGAAGGTAATTGGTTGCACCAGATCTTATTTTAGGGGCTTCATAGCAAAGGGGGTGTATACATATGCACGCACCACTTTTCCGTTATTTATTTTGTAGAATATTTTGAAACAAGTTACTTTTTTCATTTCACTTCACCAATTTGGACTATTTTGTGTGTGTCCATTACATGAAATAAAAATAAAAATCAATTTAAATTACAGGTTGTAATGCAACAAAATAGGAAAAACGCTAAGGGGATGAATACTTTTGCAAGGGACTGTAGCTTTTCAGAAGAATATTGATTTCAATATCATTAAGTATCCTCATGTATCATCAGCGGTGCATGGTTAAGTGCTGCCAGGGCCTGGAAACAGCAATCAACTGATTTCAGTGGATCATATTCACAGTGCAGTGTAAGCAAAGCTTCAAATCAAATCAAATTTTATTGGTCACATGCGCCGAATACAACAGGTGCAGACATTACAGTGAAATGCTTACTTACAGCCCTTAACCAACAGTGCATTTATTTTTAACAAAAAAAAAGTAAAAAAAAAACAACAAAAAAAAAGTGTTGAGAAAAAATAAAAAATAAAATAACAGTAGGGAGGCTATATATACAGGGGGGTACCGGTGCAGAGTCAATGTGCGGGGGCACCGGCTAGTTGAGATAGTTGAAGTAATATGTACATGTGGGTAGAGTTAAAGTGACTATGCATAAATAATTAACAGAGTAGCAGCAGCGTAAAAAGGATGGGGTGGGGGGGCAGTGCAAATAGTCCGGGTAGCCATGATTAGCTGTTCAGGAGTCTTATGGCTTGGGGGTAGAAGCTGTTGAGAAGTCTTTTGGACCTAGACTTGGCACTCCGGTACCGCTTGCCGTGCGGTAGCAGGGAGAACAGTCTATGACTAGGGTGGCTGGAGTCTTTGACAATTTTGAGGGCCTTCCTCTGACACCGCCTGGTATAGAGGTCCTGGATGGCAGGAAGCTTGGCCCCAGTGATGTACTGGGCCGTACGCACTACCCTCTGTAGTGCCTTGCGGTCGGAGGCCAAGCAGTTGCCATACCAGGCGGTGATGCAACCAGTCAGGATGCTCTCGATGGTGCAGCTGTAGAATTTTTTGAGGATCTGAGGACCCATGCCAAATCTTTTCAGTCTCCTGAGGGGGAATAGGCTTTGTCGTGCCCTCTTCACGACTGTCTTGGTGTGTTTGGACCATGATAGTTCGTTGGTGATGTGGACACCAAGGAACTTGAAGCTCTCAACCTGTTCCACTACAGCCCCGTCGATGAGAATGGGGGCGTGCTCAGTCCTCTTTTTTTTCCTGTAGTCCACAATCATCTCCTTTGTCTTGGTCACGTTGAGGGAGAGGTTGTTGTCCTGGCACCACACGGCCAGGTCTCTGACCTCCTCCCTATAGGCTGTCTCATCGTTGTCGGTGATCAGGCCTACCACTGTTGTGTCGTCGGCAAACTTAATGATGGTGTTGGAGTCGTGCCTGGCCATGCAGTCATGGGTGAACAGAGAGTACAGGAGGGGACTGAGCACGCACCCCTGAGGGGCCCCCGTGTTGAGGATCAGTGTGGCAGATGTGTTGTTACCTACCCTTACCACCTGGGGGCGGCCCGTCAGGAAGTCCAGGATCCAGTTGCAGAGGGAGGTGTTTAGTCCCAGGATCCTTAGCTTAGTGATGAGCTTAGAGGGCACTATGGTGTTGAATGCTGAGCTGTAGTCAATGAATAGCATTCTCACGTAGGTGTTCCTCTTGTCCAGGTGGGAAAGGGCAGTGTGGAGTGCAATAGAGATTGCATCATCTGTGGATCTGTTGGGGCGGTATGCAAATTGGAGTGGGTCTAGGGTTTCTGGGATAATGCTGTTGATGTGAGCCATGACCAGCCTTTCAAAGCACTTCATGGCTACAGACGTCAGTGCTACGGGTCGGTAGTCATTTAGGCAGGTTAAGCTTGTGAGTCTTATGACAGTACAGTAGACTCATTTGGATGTACTGTATGTAGGTTGTCAGGAACGGGTTGGAGAACCACACAGTATCAGAGAACATCTTCAAATAAATGACAGACGTATTTGTTTAACCCAGGGGAGAACGACTGCCCCCTCTCATTGAAGCCACAGAGGTTCAAGGCCAACTGCGGTATTGCAGGCATTGTTAGCAGAAAACAGGATCCCCCATTAGAGTGAATGGGTCAATCTTAGTATAAATAAAAAAAAATTTGAAAACAATCATGGTACCAATAACTGCTAGTAATGTACCATATGTATGTCCTTGAAGCGATTATTTTAAAAATCGCACACAGAAGAAGCTTTAAGGATAATTTAGTTGCTAATGGCATCCTGTAGTACCCCGGTCGGCCTTCAACTCGAGTTATTCAATGACAGGCAGCACCACTGATAGCTTGCAACGTCACTTCAAGGAGAAGCTCAAACTGTGCATGTTTTGTCTCCATGAGACCCCATCTTAAACTACTTAATTTGGCTTCAATGCGCTGTTGAGTCTTCACATAGGAATGAATGGCGTCATGTGATCAATGGCTTTGTCCATTCATATATACAGTCCTTGGTTTAATCTATCACTAGATGGTTTCATTTCAGAGAGACAAACAATCACATTTTGTTACAAAACACCTCATTCTCAGAGAAAAAAGTATCATCCCTGAAAGGTTAAACACAAATGTGACAAATAATTAAAAATATTATATAAATATTTAAAAAATATATATAAAAAAATTCATCAGTACAATCATATGAGATCTGGGCTCTGGTCAAAAGTTGTGCACTATATAGGGAATAGGGTGCAATTTGGGACGAGGCCTAACTCTAACCAAACACTATAGCATGAGGCTAGATTTGTGATATGTTAGATTTATATGTTAAATATACAGGATACGAACATTCCATTCCAGCTAAACAATGGATAGAGTTTTGCAACAAAACCAATTGCAATACACATCTAAAATATATTAATGTAACATCTGAAGACAGTGATATTTTACACATACATAAAGCATTTATTTCTGATGAAAATAACACAAATGTGAAAAATTGGTGGATATAGAGTAAATGTTAGAGTAAATCTTTGATCTGACAAACAAACCACTTCCACGGTTCCATAACATTGCAGAAACATAAACAAACAGTTATAATTAAATGGCTGCTTAGAGACTTAAGGGTGAATCATAGTGCACACTGGCTTCTCCGTCTACATAGATGCAAATACAACGGTAAAATAAAAGGGACTGAATACTAAAATGCCAGTAACATTCAACTCATCAAAAGTAAATAGTAAACCGATATACCATCTAAACTAAAGAAAGGTCAACTTGATTGAAGAGGATAAATCTGTATGGGCATTCGTCATGTCACATAAAAACATGTCTGCCCAGTCCAGCTATCTCCAATATCTGACATTTAGCTGGCTAATACCAGCCCTCTCTTCAGTCGAGTTGGTGTCTTATTTTAGCCATGCTGTTGTGCACATTCCATAGGAGAAGATAACACAGGGGACAGCAGGGAGGGAGCTCCTCCTCACCCAAACACACAGGGAGGGGAGGGGGAATACACCACATGGGGTATTAGAGATATTGGAGTCATCTATACCAGTGTTTGTCAACCTCTAGTCCATTGACTAGCACTGGCCCTTGGATGTTGCTGACGGGCCTCTCAGATGGTAAACTGACACATCTAAAAATCAACATGTCGTATTACTCACACTACATTTGGAAAACACAAGGGCAATGGTAAACTACGATGGTGATGGTGTCATACTGGCCAGTGTTCTTTCCATTAGGTGTTAAGAAAAAGGCATGTATCGCAATGCCGCTTGGCCTTAACATTAGGCTAGTCTAAACCTAACCTAGTCTAAAGCAGTGGTTCAAAGGAATTCAGTCCGGCTTTAAAATTACTCTTGAAAGTTGTAATAGTAGAATGCACAAGGTGCAATTTCGAAATTGGGTAGTGCATCATCAGTTCCTCTTGTCATGTCAGTCATTGCAAACCTTAGAGAGCTATTTATTTATTACTTGTCAGAAATGTCCAGATCAACTAGCCCATGTCAGCTAACGTTTTTTTATTTAGGTTTTTTAGCCCATAGATATTGTTGTAATTTTTTAGTCACTCAAATATCACATGAATACACATTATACATGGCAAAATGTATGGAATTGCAAGAAAATTAGCTTTAAAACTGCAAAATGTTCTTTGCAACCCATGACAAAATGTGTAGAATTGCCAGAAATAAGCTTCAACCCTGCATAATTCTCTCCACCAACAAGAGGAGTGTGAACAGTTTGTATCATGAACAGTGCTTGTGCCCTTGGAAAAAGACGTGGTGCGTGCGTGCATGGGGGTAAATTGTAATGTATAAATTGTAATGTTTAAAACAAGCTAAGTAACTATACCACATTGTCTTGACTCAAAAGATCTGTCAGGGTCAGGAGGACCAAACGTTACAAAGGGGTTACACATGCCAGCCAACTCTTCTAGCCTCGTACCATCTGCTATAGACAATTCTTCTATTGTTGACATGCCATACTCTTCTATTATGGTCATGCTGTAACCATAGAAGACTTGGCACAGAACATAAAGTATGGGACCAGACCAACTAAACATAGCACCACATATGGCTTTACACATGGGCGGCAGTTAGGCTAGCGGATAGAGCGTTGGGCCAGTAACTGGAAAGGTTGCTAGTTCGAATCCCAGAGCCTACAAAGTGATGTGCCCATGAGCAATGCACTTAACCCTAATTGCTCCAGGGTCGCTGTTGATAATGGCCGTGGCACCACTTTCTGAGGGTGTCTCAGGGGGAGTTGGGATATGCAAAAAACACATTTCCAATTCACACATGCATCTAAATAGGGCAAATATAAGGATACATGAAATTATTAATTATTATTATTACATATGGATTTACATCATCATGACAGCTAGGGCCATAATCCCTTCCTCCAATGATCCCAGGTCAGACTGGGGCTAAAATCAAGAGCAGTTCATGGCAAAGTGCCACTCAAAGCCACCGTTCGTCACACCCCAAGCATCCAGTGAGATATCCCAAAGGCCACCATCCATAACATCCCAAGCATCCAGTGTGATGACCCATTGCAACATGATATCATTGATAAGCATCAGTCTGTGATGCTTTTGCAAAAAGATATGCATCATGAGACATGATGCATAAGTTAATACATTGCATTCAATGCTAAAAGATACACATCAATATAGATATGCGTCAAGAATATTGAGGCATAGATACAGTGGGGAAGAAAAGTATTTAGTCAGCCACCAATTGTGCGAGTTCTCCCACTTAAAAAGATGAGAGAGGCCTGTAATTTTCATCATAGGTACACGTCAACTATGACAGACAAAATGAGGAAAAAAATTCCAGAAAATCACATTCTAGGATTTTTAATGAATTTATTTGCAAATTATGGTGGAAAATAAGTATTTGGTCAATAACAAAAGTTTCTCAATACTTTGTTATATACCCTTTGTTGGCAATGACACAGGTCAAACGTTTTCTGTAAGTCTTCACAAGGTTTTCACACACTGTTGCTGGTATTTTGGCCCATTCCTCCATGCAGATCTCCTCTAGAGCAGTGATGTTTTGGGGCTGTCGCTGGGCAACACGGACTTTCAACTCCCTCCAAAGATTTTCTATGGGGTTGAGATCTGGAGACTGGCTAGGCCACTCCAGGACCTTGAAATGCTTCTTACGAAGCCACTCCTTCGTTGCCCGGGCGGTGTGTTTGGGATCATTGTCATGCTGAAAGACCCAGCCACGTTTCATCTTCAATGCCCTTGCTGATGGAAGGAGGTTTTCACTCAAAATCTCACGATACATGGCCCCATTCATTCTTTCCTTTACACGGATCAGTCGTCCTGGTCCCTTTGCAGAAAAACATCCCCAAAGCATGATGTTTCCACCCCCATGCTTCACAGTAGGTATGGTGTTCTTTGGATGCAACTCAGCATTCTTTGTCCTCCAAACACGACGAGTTGAGTTTTTACCAAAAAGTTATATTTTGGTTTCATCTGACCATATGACATTCTCCCAATCCTCTTCTGGATCATCCAAATGCACTCTAGCAAACTTCAGACGGGCCTGGACATGTACTGGCTTAAGCAGGGGGACACGTCTGGCACTGCAGGATTTGAGTCCCTGGCGGCGTAGTGTGTTACTGATGGTAGGCTTTGTTACTTTGGTCCCAGCTCTCTGCAGGTCATTCACTAGGTCCCCCCGTGTGGTTCTTGGATTTTTGCTCACCGTTCTTGTGATCATTTTGACCCCACGGGGTGAGATCTTGCGTGGAGCCCCAGATCGAGGGAGATTATCAGTGGTCTTGTATGTCTTCCATTACCTAATAATTGCTCCCACAGTTGATTTCTTCAAACCAAGCTGCTTACCTATTGCAGATTCAGTCTTCCCAGACTGGTGCAGGTCTACAATTTTGTTTCTGGTGTCCTTTGACAGCTCTTTGGTCTTGGCCATAGTGGAGTTTGGAGTGTGACTGTTTGAGGTTGTGGACAGGTGTCTTTTATACTGATAACAAGTTCAGACAGGTGCCATTAATACAGGTAACGAGTGGAGGATAGAGGAGCCTCTTAAAGAATAAGTTACAGGTCTGTGAGAGCCAGAAATCTTGCTTGTTTGTAGGTGACCAAATACTTATTTTCCACCATAATTTGCAAATAAATTCATTAAAAATCCTACAATGTGATTTTCTGGAGAAAAAAAATCTCAATTTGTCTGTCATAGTTGACGTGTACCTATGATGAAAATTACAGGCCTCTCATCTTTTTAAGTGGGAGAACTTGCAAAATTGGTGGCTGACTAAATACTTTTTCCCCCCACTGTATGCATCAAGGGTATTGAAGCATAAGTCAATACATTGTATTCAAGGCAAATAAGTTGGTGATAAAGCTGCAATGGGTAAATTGTTGAAAGACTCAGACAGACAGGCATAAACTCACAGACAGATAGTCTGTCGTTTTTTATAGCTGTTCTCTCTATTCTCTAATCCCCTCTCCCGCCCTGTCGCTATTTCTACTTACTCTTTATCCACCCTGCTTCCCTTATTTCTCACCCCTCCCCCTTGTTTCCCTCTCCTTCCTCTCCCCTTTATTCTTGCTCCCTCCTTTTTTCCCCCCTCCCTCCCCTAATCTTTTCCCCCTCCCTCCCCTAATCTTTTCCCCGCTCCATTATCTCCCTCCTCTCTTCCACCACCTCTCAGACAGACAGATCCACTCACAGACAGAGAGACAGAGGCAGGCAGACATATACACTCACAGACAGACAGACAGGCAGGGAGGCAGACTAACATCAACCTTAACTTCATGTTCACATACCGGCTCAGCCCTAACTCAAGCCATAGGGGATGTGAACAAGAAGTTAGGGTTAAAGTTAGGGCTAGGATTGAGCCAAGGTGAGGAGGATTATTTAAGATACTCTTTGTAGAGGTAGGGTTTCAGATGTTTTCGGATGATGTCCTAGCTTCAGGGGGAAGCTGGTTCCACTATTGGGGTGCCAGGACAGAGAAGAGCTTGGATTGGGCTGAGTGGGAGCTGCCCTCCCGAAGGGGTGGGATGGCCAAGAGATCTGAGGTGGCAGAACGGAGTGCTCGGGTTGGGGTGTAGGGTTTGAGCATAGCCTGAAGGTAGGGAGGGGCAGTTCTTCTTGCTGTTCCGTAGGCAAGTACCATGGTCTTGTAGTGGATGTGAGTTTCGACTGGAAGCCAGTGGAGTGTGCGGAGGAGCGGGGTGACATGAGAGAACTTGGGAAGGTGGAAAACCAGGCGGGTTGCAGCGTTCTGGATGAGTTGCAGGGGTTTGAGTAGTCCAGACGGGAGAGGATAAGTGCCTGGATTAGGACCTGCGCCGCTTCCTCTGTGAGGTAGGGTCGTACTCTACGGATGTTGTAGCGCATGAACCTGCAGGAGCGGGTCACTGCTTTGATGTTTGAGAACGACAGGGTGTTGTCCAGGGTCAGACCAACTAGGTTCTTTGCACTCTGGGAGGGCGACACTGTGGAGTTGTCAACCGTAATGGAGAGGTCTTTGAGCGGGCAGGACTTCTCCTGGAGGAAGAGCAGTTCCGTCTTGTCGAGGTTGAGCTTGAGGTGGTGGGCTGAAATCCAAGATGAGATATCTGCCAGGCACGCAGAGATGTGTGTCACCACCTGGGTGTCAGAAGGGGGGGAAGGAGAGAAGTAGTTGAGTGTCATCCGCATAGCAATGATAGGAGAGACCATGTGAGGATATGACGGAGCCGAGTGACTTGGTGTATTTGGAGAAGAGGGCCTTGAGTCAAGCACTTGGGGACACCAGTAGTGAGAGCTAGGGTTAGGGTTATGGCTAGGGTTGAGCCGGAATGTGGACATTAAGCTAGGGGGAGATTCTCGTTAGGGCAAAAGACCGTCCTCCGTCCTCTCTCCTCCATGACCCGGTAACCGATAAGTGGTCGAGGAATGTGTCAATTCGTTAGTAGGCAAACGGAAGCGTCATCCCCTCCTCGATAGCCACCATTCATTGAGGATGCTCATGTGTATCCGAGTTTTGAAATCTGCCACACCCCCTTTGAATCAGCTTTTGTTTTGTCAGAGGAGAAAAACGTGCACACTTTTAAAAACAACATGCTACTTATTGGTTTATCTATAAAATGTCTTGCACAACTAACTTTAATTTGTTTTGAGCACTTTACACATTTATTTTAGGATCCACCCCTGTAAAATGAGGAGGCCAGTCACATTTCAAGCAAGTGCATTTCCATCCACGTTCGCTCTCCTCGCCTACTCTCCTCGATTAACTTTGACCTTTTACGAAAGGAGGCTAGAGAGGACAGATGAGAAATGAAGCAGGAGGTGAGCAAATCGAATTGATAAAAGGCCAGGGTTAGGGATATGGCTAGGGTACCGGTTGAGCTGGGATGTGGACTTTAATCTAGGGTTAGGTTTCAGTCGGGAGTGGACATGAAGCTAGGTTTAGGGCCTCAACCCTAGACATAACCCTAACCCTAATCCAATTAACAATTATTAACACTACATGGCAGAAAGGTATGCCTGACTTGAAGCTGATTTAAGGTGCTTTTGAGTGACATTGGCAGAACAGTTGAGGCTAGAAACACAATTCAAGTATGGGATCGTTCAGCAGAAGCTCCCGATGAACGCAGGCCTACACCTGACCATGTGAAGTTAACTCTTCACAGTGAAAACTTGGTCCCACTGAGAACAAGGCCTTTCTTCCATAGAAAAGCATCACCTACACCCCCTTACATAACCATGATGACCCCGTGGACTGTGATATAGCCAGCTAACATACCCAGTTCTGACTTTATAGTGATGCCCTTTGTTAACAGGAAGTGACTTAATTTATCCTCAACATGGTCTTTCATTCTTTCCCTGTAGTTCCACAAAAACACTGTCTTCCATGTTCCATCCTCTGTAGAATGGTACATTCTTAACGTAAAGACTTGAAACTCAGGGCATTGTTCAAGATTGTCCCTTAAAGAGTGTTATTGAATTTCCTGCAATTATAAGAATTGACTAAATCGGGGGCTATAGGGGCGATTTCGAAGGATTAAAAAGGTTGAACCCTCCCAAATTTTACATATGTGACCGGGGACCGTCATGACCTGGCATATGAAATTTGAAGTCAATTGGCACAAAAGTTTGACCTCCATTGGACACAATGGTCTTGCAGTTCTAGAAACTAAGAGCCTTGAATGAAATCTGAAGTGGATTTCAGTCACTTTTTATTAGATTGACTTGACACTGTCTGTGAGTGTACATGTCTGTCTGCCACATATCTTTTTGCATTGAATGCAAAGTATTGACTTATGCATCATGTCTCGTGATGTATCACAGACTGACACTTGATCAGTTGATACCAGGCTGCCCTATCCCTGTCCCTGACACTCTGGAAGGAGAGGCGACACCCCCGAAAGCCGGGCCACTGTCTATTTTCAGATAGTTTAACGTTCCAAAATAGAGCAGCGCCGATTCCACCGAGACTAACCAATGTGGGCAAAGAATAACGAATTTGGATTATCATCCTGTTCAAGTAGAAGGACTATCAATTACCATTCTATTTAGTCCATAAAATAAAATAAAACGAGAACTCCTAAATCAAGATTAGTTAGATTGAATGTAAAAAGTCAAAACATGTTAGTTTACTGTTGTGCTTTTTATACAGTACTGGAAGTATATTTCATTCTATTTTGTACTCAAATTTTAAGAATAAATAATATATCCAGAAAGTAACATATTTAATAATAATAATAATAATAATTTGGTGGGTGCCTATATTTGTCCTATTTCACACATGTACAAGTACGGATGTGCGAATTGGAAATGTGTTTTTTCCATATCCCACTCTCAGAGTGTAGGGTCATTGGAGCAATTATGGTTAATTACCTTGCTCAAGGGCACATCAGATTTTCCACCTTGTCGGCTCTGTGAGTCGAACTAGCGACCTTTCGGTTACTGGCCCAACGCTCTAACCGCTAGGCTATTTCTCATATCCTCACTGTATTTCATTGTTACATTGGATTCATACAATCCACAAATGTACAATGCTCCAAGATACCAGCTACTACCAAGATACTAACTGCAGTTTTAGTTACACGCCTATATGCTTGGCTACTGCTTCACTCAACACATGAATCCTCTCTACTTTAGGGGCTCAAGTGTTTTATAAGGATGTGTAGTATGCGACTGTGAAACGAGAGCCCCTTATCTAAAACCTGAGGGATGAAGACCTGAGGAACACCAGTCATAAAGACCTCTGAGCCGTCAGCAGCCCCTATATGTGGGTGCAGTGCTAATTACAAAATTAATGCTGTTTTTACTGTCCGGATAAACATGGGGTCAGAGTGATGTCTACCTAACTGTACTTGTTACAAAATGGATGCTGTTTATATTACTACTGAATCAAGAGGATTAATTTAACTGCTCTGATAAGAAACATTTATTCTGTCTGAGTCTGATTCATTATCTCTGTTTTTCAATACATTTTAATATTTGGGAGATAAAGCAGATCGCGCTCTTCATTTCACCTGTCACATTATTTGACATTATGAAGATTACCATAGTTCCCCAGAACAGTTGAACCAGTCATGTGTTTGTTTGTAAATAGCACAACGGGAGAAAGTGGGAGCAGGTGAGTCCAGCTGTGTATTGACAGGGATCGCGTTTTATATTAAAAGTCGTGTTTTTTTGCTTCAATAGAGTGATCGGGGACGTGCAACTATAGTTTTCCTTCACAGAAACTACATTAGTGCAACACATTCAGCAGAAAATAGCTATTTGGCTGGCAGCCACACAAGTAAATGAGCTTGCAAAGAAAAAGCAAGGTATTTTTTGTAGAAACAATGCATGGCCATCATATTTCTAATGTTTATCATAGAAAGAACGTAGCCAGCTACATTTCCTAATGTTTTGCTTAAAAGTTAATTTTGCATTTTACCGGAGAAAAGTAGGCTGGCAACACCCAGAAAAATACCAGCAAAAGTAGCTACATACAGTGAGGGAAAAAAGTATTTGATCCCCTGCTGATTTTGTACGTTTGCCCACTGACAAAGAAATGATTATTAATTTGGCCACTTACTTGCAAGTTAAAGCTAGGGGTCTCATTAACGCAGAAATCTTTGTTTTTCACTCAGGAAAAAAGATAAAACACATAAGAAATATCTTGCTGTGTTTTGTAAACGCAGATCTAAAATGCTTCTTATTGTAATTTCTAATCGGCATCAGACTAATTTTGTGCTTCAGTTGCACTTTTCCACTCTAATGACAATTCACAAACAGGCATTCTATCAGCAGACAGCACTCTGACTGATATACAGTGAGGGAAAAAAGTATTTGATCCCCTGCTGATTTTGTATGTTTGCCCACTGACAAAGACATTATCAGTCTATAATTTTAATGGTAGGTTTATTTGAACAGTGAGAGACAGAATAACAACAAAAAAATCCAGAAAAACGCATGTAAAAAATGCTATAAATTGATTTGCATTTTATTGAGGGAAATAAGTGTTTGACCCCCTCTCAATCAGAAAGATTTCTGGCTCCCAGGTGTCTTTTATACAGGTAACGAGCTGAGATTAGGAGCACACTCTTAAAGGGAGTGCTCCTAATCTCAGCTTGTTACCTGTATAAAAGACACCTGTCCACAGAAGCAATCAATCAATCAGATTCCAAACTCTCCACCATGGCCAAGACCAAAGAGCTCTCCAAGGATGTCAGGGACAAGATTGTAGACCTACACAAGGCTGGAATGGGCTACAAAACCATCGCCAAGCAGCTTGGAGAGAAGGTGACAACAGTTGGTGCGATTATTCGCAAATGGAAGAAACACAAAATAACTGTCAATCTCCCTCGGCCTGGGGCTCCATGCAAGATCTCACCTCGTGGAGTTGCAATGATCATGAGAACGGTGAGGAATCAGCCCAGAACTACACGGGAGGATCTTGTCAATGATCTCAAGGTAGCTGGGACCATAGTCACCAAGAAAACAATTGGTAACACACTACACCGTGAAGGACTGAAATCCTGCAGCGCCCGCAAAGTCCCCCTGCTCAAGAAAGCACATATACAGGCCCGTATGAAGTTTGCCAATGAACATCTGAATGATTCAGAGGAGAACTGGGTGAAAGTGTTGTGGTCAGATGACACCAAAATGGAGCTCTTTGGCATCAACTCAACTCGCCGTGTTTGGAGGAGGAGGAATGCTGCCTATGACCCCAAGAACACCATCCCCACCGTCAAACATGGAGGTGGAAACATTATGCTTTGGGGGGGGGGGGGTTTCTGCTAAGGGGACAGGACAACTTCACCGCATCAAAGGGACGATGGACGGGGCCATGTACCGTCAAATCTTGGGTGAGAACCTCCTTCCCTCAGCCAGGGCATTGAAAATGGGTCGTGGATGGGTATTCCAGCATGACAATGACCCAAAACACACGGCCAAGGCAACAAAGGAGTGGCTCAAGAAGAAGCACATTAAGGTCCTGGAGTGACTTAGCCAGTCTCCAGACCTTAATCCCATAGAAAATCTGTGGAGGGAGCTGAAGGTTCGAGTTGCCAAACGTCAGCCTCGAAACCTTAATGACTTGGAGAAGATCTGCAAAGAGGAGTGAGACAAAATCCCTCCTGAGATGTGTGCAAACCTGGTGGCCAACTACAAGAAATGTCTCACCTCTGTGATTGCCAACAAAGGTTTTGCCACCAAGTACTAAGTCATGTTTTGCAGAGGGGGTCAAATACTTATTTCCTTCAATAAAATGCAAATCAATTTATAACATTTTTGACATGCGTTTTTCTGGATTTTTGTTGTTGTTATTCTGTCTCTCACTGTTCAAATAAACCTACCATTAAAATTATAGACTGATAATGTCTTTGTCAGTGGGCAAACATACAAAATCAGCAGGGGATCAAATACTTTTTTTCCCTCACTGTATATCAGTCAGAGTGCTGTCTGCTGATAGAATGCCTGTTTGTGAATTGTCATTAGAGTGGAAAAGTGCAACTGAAGCACAAAATTAGTCTGATGCCGATTAGAAATTACAATAAGAAGCATTTTAGATCTGCGTTTACAAAACACAGCAAGATATTTCTTATGTGTTTTATCTTTTTTCCTGAGTGAAAAACAAAGATTTCTGCGTTAATGAGACCCCTAGCTTTAACTTGCAAGTAAGTGGCCAAATTAATAAGGTGACAGGGCATCATAGTGTTAGCTTTCTGCAGTGGCATATATGCATGGTTGCCAAGGGAAGACCGGCTTCCCTATTGGTAACAATACACTATTTACAGTGTAATAGTCAGAATCTAAAGAGACATTGAGGGAATAATATATTCAACATGCACTGTTTTAGGTCTTGTGGCCCATCATATACTATGCAGTTAGACACTTTTATAGTAGTGTGATCATATAGTGTGATCATGTGAACAGTACAAGACATTACCAGGCATACATGGTGGCTCTGGCTGGCATCTTCCTGCCACTAGCAGGTCCTGTTGCTTCCGCTTCTTACTCCTCCTCAGGCTGCCAAACCTCTTCATGGACAGCAGCGGGTTCAAGCGATGGTTTCAACACCCAATATGGACCATGACCATCCGGGACTGGGACGAGTCACACTGTAGGGCACCACCACCACTACTCAGATGTGTGACGAAATAGCTACTCCTGTTACTCCGCCTGATGCATGTTTGTAAATTGAATAAAGCTAAAGATCGGTGTCAAATGACAAGATCTGTGCCAAAATGAAATTAAAGATATGTCCGGAGAAGGGTCTTTCCCAACCAGTCAGGTGCTTACTGAAAGTCTCTTGTGCAAGGCTACTCTTCTAGCTCTGGATGGCTTTGTGTTGGTATTCTGGAAAGAGCTGAACCTTTCCTAGGAGGATGTGCTTTGGTCTGGAGGGCCCTCTTCAGTCAATGGGCTATCTTAGATTAAGGTTGCTTTTGTTCTCCTGAGTAGATCTGTTCTTCTGGTTAAGAGTTGCCTCTTCTCCTTCCCATTGATGTGCCATCTGTCATTTAGACATGGTTGGTCTTCATGCTTGTATTTCTTGGAAAGTTAAGGATCTCTTCTTCTTTCTGTAAGCTCATTCATTAAAATGTCTCAGTGAGTCCAGAGAGCTGTCAGGGTATTGGTGTCTGTGGCAGCTCACATGTTCGCTGGAGAACACGCAGGGAAAGAAAGATGGAATTTCCACACGTCCTCTGTGAGACTAGGTCCAACACTCCCAAGTGATGATGCACAGTGTAGCACAGCACACACAGACTCTCTTCCTCTCGCTCTGCTGAATTTCACTTTGCTCCTCTTCTCCCCCTCTCTGCTCTGTTTTGGTAGGACTGTCTCGCTCTCCCGCTCTCTGCTCTATTTTGCACTGTTCTGCCTCTCTACAGAGCTCTAGTAGTGGCATCTGTTGGTGTCAGGTGCAGCTGTGGGTGGCGTCTTTAATATACTACGCATTTCAGCAGCCTGTAAAAGGAGGCCAGCCCGGGAGGGACACACAAAGTGATTGGGTAAGCGTCTGCGTCCCCCCCCTCTTAACCCCAACCCCCCCTGAACACATTCAAATCACCATACTCACATCCGTCTCCGTCTTACATTTACGTCATTTAGCAGACGCTCTTATCCAGAGCGACTTACAAAATGGTGCATTCACCTTAAAGCCAACGTGTATATACTCATAACACTATCTAAAATCAGGGACGGGCAACTGGCGTCCCTGAATACACAAGGTGTTATTTCAAAATTTCGTTGTGCATCAGCAGTCACTCAATTAGTCCATGTCAGCTAAATTGTTTTAGATTGGTAAGCAGTGGTGGAAAAAGTACCCAACTGTCATACTTGAGTAAAAGTAAAAGATACCTTAATAGAAAATGACTCAAGTAAAAGTAAGTCACCCAGTAAAATTCTACTTGAGCAAAAGACAAAGTATTTGGTTTAAAATATACTTAGGTATCAAAAGTAAAAGTATAAATAATTTCGAATTCCTTATATTAAGCAAACCAGATGGCACCATTTTCTTGTTTTTTTAATTTACGGAAAGCCAGGGGCACACTCCAACATTCAGATATAATTTACAAACAAAGCATGTGTGTTTAGTGAGTCCGCCAGATCAGAGGCAGTAGGGATGATAAGGGATGTTCTCCTGATAAGTGCGTGAATTGGACTATTTTCCTGTCCTGCTAATAAGAATTCAAAAGGTAACGAGTACTTTTGGGTGTCAAGGGAAATGTATGGAATAAAAAGTACAATATTTTCTTAAGGAAAATAAAGGAAGTAAAAGTAGTCAAAAATATAAACAGTAAAGTAAAGTACAGATACCCCAAAAGAACTACTTAAGTAGTACTTTAAAGTATTTTTACTTAAGTACTTTACACCACTGTTGGTAAGTTAGTATAGCAGCCAGCTATCTAAACTTGTAGTAAGCATGGTCGAATTACCGACTAGGGAGGGCCCATTGATCAGTAGCCATCATATTAAAAACTGCAAACATTTGCCTCCATCCTTGGGCAAAACGTGTAGAATTGCAGGAATTTTGTTCTAAAATTGCAAAATCTCTCAACCCCATGGCAAGATGTGTAGAATTGCAGCAAACTTGCTTTAAAACTGCAACATTTTCTCTACACCCCATGGCAAAATGTGCATAATTGCACCCCCATCAAAGTTGCCCATCCCCAATCTAAATCAAACTATATAAAAACCAAAAGGTGTCGTAAGAATGCCTTCAGAAAGTATTTATACCCTTTGACTTATTCCACATTGTTGTGTTACAGCCTGAATTTAAATTGATTTTCTCACCCATCTACACACAATGCCCCATAATGCCAAAGTGAAAACATGACATTTTTGCAAATGTATTGAAAATGAAATACAGAAATATCTAATTCACATTAGTATTCACAATACTTTGTAGAATCACCTTTGGCAGTGATTACAGCTGTGAGTATTTCTGTATAAGTCTAAGAGCTTTCCACACCTGGATTGTGAAACATTTGCCCATTCACTGCTCAACAAGAGGGACCTTACAGATAAGTGTATCTGTGGGGTACAGAGATTTGGTAGTCATTCAAAAAATCATGTTAAACTCTATTATTGCACACAGAGTGAGTCCATACAACTTATTATGTGACCTGTTAAGCAAATGTTTACTCCTGAACATATTTAGGCTTGCCATAACAAAAGGGTTGAATACTTGACTCAAGACATTTCAGCTTTTTATTTTTAATTAATTTGTTAAAAGAAATAAAAAACATAATTCCACTTTGACATTATGGGGTATTGTGCGTAGGCCAGTGAGATACCCCCCAAATGTAATCGATTTTCAATTCAGGCTGTAATACAACAAACTGTGGAAAAGGTAAAGGGGTGTGAATACTTTCTGAAGGCACTGTATGTACTTTAAGTTGAACATTCTGCCTCGCAGAGCGACAGCTAGGTCAGGTCACTGTCCCAGTACTGTAGCTAACTCAGGAAGACTGACCTTTAAAAAGTGCTGATCCCAGCCCCAGATCACCTCAACCATCCTCAGCTGACTGAATGGACGCCTCATGGTCTTTCCCTGGCCTGGCCTGGCGGCTGTGGAGTCATCTGATCAGATAATGGGTTCCACACACTCACCACCACACCCCTGTGATGACCCAGTTAGTTATGACACTATTGACTGGCTTCTATACTACCCCAGATTCATAAAAAATGGTTATGCAACTGATCAGCCCAAACAAGTCAATAAACAGTTCAGCAGTGCATGAATGAGGAGATGCAGTCAGAGTGTTACCTTTGACCTTCTGCTCCTATGACACCTCAATTGTTTTTACGCTGGGGTTTCATAAACTAGGGATAAAAAAAGTCAAAGAATTTCCTCTTCTTTCTCTAGACGTCTCTTCCCTTTCGATTTAGTCTCATCTATCTCTTTATACTCTATTCTCATGGGTCTCAGTGAATTGGGGGCAATTTGTAAAAAATGACTTTAATGACCTTAATTTACTGACCACATACAGAATGCAGGGGAAGGGAGGGAGGAGAGGAGAGGACAGGAGCGGAGAGGAGAGGAGAGGGAGAGAGACTGCCTGCCTGCCTGAAGAGCTTTGTACAAGTCTGTCTGGGCATTTCCAGATAAAGACATGAACGTTGAAATTACCTTGAAGGACAAATAGCTTATTATATTATAGCATAAAACCCAAAAGTCAATAGATGCCATGCATAAAAACCCTTGGAGAAAATATAGAATTCTTGACATCCAAGCCCCAAACAATTTCTCATAACGTGATGGATGGAAGAGAGCAAGAAATGAACAGGGCATAGCACACCCTTGTGGAAACTGATGCTCGATTATAACAACAGTTTAAACAAGCCATGAACCTTCAAAAGTAATGGCCCCAGTCAGTGTATGAGTTTCAGTACAGTTGGTGACCCATATTAATCTTCAGGATGAAACAGAGCTTGCCCCAAGCTAAGGCCTGGCCCAGATGGAGTGTTCCATTATAAGCTGCTAAACAAGACTCTTCATAGGAACTGGGAAGAATGGGTGAACACCAGCCAGGGAAAATGACTCACCTTTTAGGTGTTTTAACCAGAGTATTTCCATGCACAACAGACTGATTTTCATTAGACCATTAACTATACAAGTACTGAGACTGAAGAGCTTAAAAGTCATTTGGTTAACTCTGCTCTCTGGTCATTTGACAAGGAAGCTACTCTCTAATACTCAACAAATCACTTCCAACCAATCATTATTTTGGTAAACAGTTTACTTGAAACCTAAAGTCATAAAGGCTACATAACACTGTCATAATCATAACACTGGTATAAACAGTCATGACTGTTAAATTCTTTGAATCTACAGTTTCATTTAGTACCGTAGCTCTAGTCCAAGGCCTTTCTAATGTTTTAAAGAGGAAATACTAAGCAACATTATTACCAGGGCGATGTGTTGACTCTTGACTCTGGTGGTCACATGTTATCATTCACAATGTAAGTTTGTCCTAATAATTCATAATTCTATGAATATTAGCTAGAAAACATGTGCTTGGACTCTAGTTCAATGAATCCCAGAGGCCAGCAGCACAATATGACATTCTGGCTTTATAGGCCACCCATGAAAGCCAGAAAACATAAGCTAAACAAAGTCCTCTATGTTTGTCACTTCTTTCTTTTAACCCCAAGAGGAAGTTGTTGACACTGATGATAAAGAGTCTAGATAAGGAAGGAAGCACATCTGTCTGCAGTTTTGTAATAATACTCTAAGCTTAAGACCCAGAATGGTCTAGGTCATGATGGGTCACTGAGCTCTCAGGACATGGCAATAAGATGGTGATGTTTACATTGTGTTTGCTTTCCAGAAGGGGACTGCTGCCCCCTACAGCTCTTGCAGGGCTTTTTAGCACCAATGCGCTAGGACTGTACAGGGTTTTACCATTTTGTGACCATTTTCTTTTGAAGAGCTACCTGTGTTTGCTATGGTAATTATTCCATATTATTACAACAGTGTGTCTGCACATAATTCAGTCATAGATAATTCTGTCAGAATCAAAGTCTAAGATCACAA